ATTCATTGATGTGTTAAGGGACACCTAGGTTGTTTTGATATCTTGAATATTGTGAATAATGCTGAAATGAATGTGGAGGTACAGGTAGCTTTAGGTGATGATTTCACTTCATTTAGTTATACACCCAGAAGAAGCATTGCTAGATCATGTGGTAGCTCTGTTTTTAGTTTTTTGAGAAAACTCTATACTACTTTCCATAATAGTGCATTAATTTATATTTCCAGCAATAGTGTTTAGAGGTTCCCTTTTTCCCTCACCCTCATAACACTTGTTCCGTCTTATCTGTTTGATAATTATTCTAACAGGTGTGGAGTGAGAGCTCATTGTGGGTTTGATTTTTATTTTTCTCATAACTGGTGATGTTCTCTTGAAGGAATGTGTTCTACTTCCTCACGCCTTCTATCTTTTGAAGGATTTTTTTTTTAACCAATAGTCACTTGTGAAAAAACTGATTCATTTCCTATATGAGCTCTCCTTTTCTTCAACTGGACTAATATTATTGCCCAAAACAGCTCAAATACACTTGGTGTAAGAAAATATGCAATAGCTACTAGAATATTACATTAAGAAAAACAATATGTAGACATTATTACAAGCATTTTGAAATGTCAAATTCGAGGTTGGACACCACTGGACTAGTTGGTTTTTAAGGTTCCTGCTAATGCTTTCTGTATCCATAAAGAAGTTTAGAGTTTCTACTGTGTGTTTTTGGTGCATTCATTCATGTGACCTGCCCTCATGGGCAGCAGTCTAATGTAAAAAGGAAGATAAAATGAAGAGAGGAAGCAGTTAGAGACCTAATAAGCACTAGACCAAGCAGCTGAACATTCAATACAATGGACAATCAGAAAAGAGGTCAGTGTGGGCTGGAGTAGTCAGAAACAATCTGTGTTTTGAGGAGATGATTCTTTAATTATGGTTTTGCTTTAAGTAGCCTGTGAGAGTGAGGGCATTCGAGGGTTGAATAAGAGAACTTCATCATGGGAGTCAAAGAAAAGAAAGACCAATAGGAGAGAATGAATGCTCTTACTTTCCTAACTGGAGGAGGTGTCTGCACTTACAGACTGAGAGAATAAAATACAGTGTTTGGTGCTCTAAATCATTTTTCTCTTTCCAGTTCCACTTCTAGCCACAACCATCCCTTGAAAGTGCTGTGCACCAGTCATCTCAGAGGATGGCAGCCCATCCATGGAGTTTCTTAAGCCCCTAACCCAAGTCACCTTGATTTCGCTTTTACCCAACTATTCCTTCAAAGAGTCCTACAGACTCCAGCTCTAGAATTTCCACATTACCTTTGTAAAATGCATATCTGATTGTTCTTACTTTCCTGCTTAAAATATTTAATGGCTCTCAGTCAGCCACAGAATATAGTGGACACCTCTCACTCTGGCACACCAGGCTTTTCATGATGTTTCCTGAGTGCTTTTCCAATCTCATCCCCGCTAGCTTCTTTTCTTACCTTCATATTATGTTGTTGAACTCAACAACAGAGAGATCACTAAAGGTCACAAGGCCGGACATTAGAGGTTTAAATTCGATTTTTTTATTTATATTGAGGCAGTGGTAAGGAGGATAATAATATGGATTTGGGAAACATTTAGTTACTAGAACAGAGACAACTTAATGCTTAGTTAACATTAAGGGTACAAAGAGAAGCAAAACTAGGATATGATGATGGCAGCAGTGATGTCAGTAATGACTGTACTATGAATGAACATTTTCTGTACACTTGCTACATATGAAGCAATTTTGAACCTGTATGTCTTCCCTATTCCTTCTGTATGGGGTGACCTTATCCTTTCTTTTGAATGGAATTAATTTTTTAAGGATATAGATTGTGACATCTTTATGAGCTGTGATAAAAAGTGTGGTGAACGCTGTTGCTGAGTGCAGTCCAGTGGAAAGGCGGGCTGGTACAGACGTTGTGGTGTGTCCTCATCCACCTCATCCGCTGGACCTGACTCGGTGACTTCTGGCTCTTCCCCAAAGTCAAAATAACCGTGAAAGTAAACCTTTTGGATAGATTTAGGCAGCCACAAGGTTACAACTAAAGATGAAAAAGGACTTCCAGAACTGCTGCCCAAAGTGGCAAGAATGGTAGGATAAGTGTGTTTGAAACGATGGGGAATATTTTGCAGGGAATTAATGATAATGCATCTTTTACTATAATAAATTTTTAAATTTAAATATTCATTGTATTTTTGATCACATTTTGTAGCTGTCCAGATTTTTATAGGGTACTTCTATACAGTCTAGCTTTGGAAGCACATACAAGCACAGCATAAAACTGCCTTCTTTGACAAATCAAGGCAACTGGCATTTCCTGAACACGTCGTACTTCTTTAAATCTGTATGGAGATGGAGTTTTCTAACCCTAACCCTGTCATGTTGCTGAATGGTGCTGGTTTGAGCTCCGAACGTAGTCCAGAGACAGAGATAAACATCAGTAGCTGGAAAGGAATAGAGTAGCGAGGTCAGAGATGAACTTGAAAACGGCGAGCTTGAAGAGGTTAGCAAACTGACACCCAGAGTAGTCAAGTACGGGATGCTAAACTCTGTGGGAGCATTTGTGGGAAGTAGAGTGTCTTAAGCAATTGGAGTGTCTTAAAATCAAATCTGAAAGGAGGAACAAGCAGATGCTGCTCTTATTTCTGGGCACTGGTCTCATCCATTCCCCTGCCATTAAATTCCTGGAACATGGCATTGTTGACTTAGTTCCTTTTTCCCAGAACTTCTGAAAATATGTGAACTGTGGAATAGATGCTATTACCAGAGTTATCAGGCCAAGAAATCAACCTTTGCATGGGCATGCCACAAAGATCAAGTCAACATTTCCACAGTGGAAGCCAAAATTCCTCGAACCCCAAAATATAATCTTGTAGATCTCTGAATATTGATCTCATTCATATATCTGAATGGGTGGGCTTTCTCCTTCGTGTCCCTATCCCCACACCATAGGGGCCACCCATTAGAAGGTCCTGTGTGATCGCTGTGTAAGAAGGAATTCCTCCCCATCATGTGCTTGGCTGCTGGAGTCAGTTCACAGTCTGATTCTCATGTGTTATAGCCCTGTAAAGAAAAGCAAGGTAGTGGGTTAGTTCTTTTCCCTTCCTTTGTGTCAACACCATCTCCTACCTCTTTCTAGTTTTTTTCTGGGACGTCCAGAGTGTCACTTTGGCTCTCTATTTGGAACTCTTTGTTGCTGAAAGTCTAAGAACATTTCTGCACAGTACTCTATCCATCTGCCCGCATGTAATATACACCACTGTGCTACAGCTGTACAGGCGAAGTGCAAGAACTAGTGTGCAGGTAAGGCCATTCCAAATTATTTTTAAGGAATGTTTGTTTACTAAGGTGCCTATTTCAGACATTTCAGAGCCCAATGTCATAAAGATGCCTCTTGGAATCTGGTGCCATGAGCTATGGCATACACAATTGAGCCAGTATTCAAAGAGGGATTATTATTATTTGTTCTTCAGAAGGGAAGAGATATTATAGAAGGGCAAATTTTTACTCACCTGGTATATACCAGTATGACTATAGTGGTTATTAAAACTTTTGCCATACTTTCATAACAATTGGTAAAAGGGCAGTTCATTTCCTTTGGTGCAACAACTTTGAGCACCCTATGCTTTCTCTGGGATCTTCTGGACCTCCTATGATCCAGCAACTAAGATTGGGTCCTGACCTACCAGACTCTACAGGACTCAGCTCCAGCCAATGGAACTGACTTGTCACAACCTTGTCATACCAGTTGCTGGGGTTTTTGAAGAATGCTCTTACAGATATAGTGCTTTAGGACCAATTGTTCTGGCAGCAATGTATAAGATGTTAGAGAAGACCCAGAACCAAGGAATTCAGCAACAAATCTCTTCCCTTAATCAGGAGGTGAGGTGGTAGGTGTAAGGCTTGAATTGGGCTGACTCTCCCAGCCCCCAGCCTGTCTGCCAGTGGAGGCTTTATTCTTGGTGGGGACTCAGCTCAGGACCCAAAGGTGCCATCTGAAAACACAGCATGTTTTAAAGGAGATAAACTGGGACAAGGAGTTTTGCAGGTCTCCATACATCTGGAGACACTCAAGGATTTACACCAGATGGTTGAAGGACTTTGCCCGAGGAGAAGCAAGACTGTGTGTCTCATTTACTCACTCACCTGGTGTTTGTTACATCTGGTGCCAAAACCTGGGACACTGAGCGAGAGGAGAAGTTCCCTCTCTGTGGGGAAGTCAAGTCCTCTCCTGAGGATCCTCACTTTAGCTGAGACCACTCAGGGACATCGGTCCCTCAGACCTCGGCTTCTACAGCTCCTGCACTTCCGCTGCACCTGATCTTGCTGGATGCTTCAGATGGGGCAAGCCCCCACCATCACTCTCTTTCTCTTTCCTTCCTCTTGCCTGCCTTTCATTGTCCCCCATAAAGTCAGACAGAGGCTTGCCCTGAGTTTTGTGCTTTTTAAATTCAGCACTGGTCTTGAAAAGCACTCCCGGGAAGGCTGCTTCCCTTTGTGTTTGACCAATCATGAAGACGTTTGCCTTGCTCAGTCGCTCACGTTTCACAGCTTTGGGTCCACCAGAGACTCAGCCTCTCTCTCACACCTCTCTCTGTACTCCAGTGGGGAACCCTTCACCCTCTACTCTCTACTTGTCCTCTCTGGCTTGCCTTCTGCAGAAACTCAGACCTCTCCCTCTCTCCCCTGAACTGAAATCCAAATGGCTCCTTTACTTCTGTAACATGGTGTGGCCACCTTACGAGCTGGACAATAACTCTTGGTGGCCTGTCCATGGTAGTACGTTTGACATTTCCATTTTGTGAGATCTGGATAATTACTGCTGAAAGCTAAAGATGTGTTCTGAAGTGGCTTATGTCCAGGCCTTCTTTACACTCCGAAGTATTCCCACTCTGTGTTCTTCATGGGATCCCTCCCAAATTCTCCTTTCCCTTCCCTCTGCACCCCTCCACTTCCCTCCCATGCCGATTCCTCCCTGACCAAAGACCTGCTGACCTCGCTTTCCCTGGGCACCCTCCTGCCTTCCCAGCTGAACAACTTCCTGTGTCCCCAGATCCTCCAGTGGAGGATCTCCGGCCATAGCCAGTGCAGCTGAGCCACTCCCTCCAGAAGAACCTCCTGTCCATCCGGAACCTGTCCCATCTGTCAACCCAGCACTTCCCTCTGGATCAGACCTCCTCCTTACATTCCGACTCTGCCCCTTACTCGATCTGGACTGCAGCTTCCACTTCAGGAGGAGGCAGGAGCGGAAGGAATCATTCAGGTTCACGTGCCCTTCTCCCTGTCCAATTTGTTTCAGATTAGTCACTGTCTGGGTTCCTTTCATACCAACCCCACCAAATATATCCAGGAATTTCAGTACCTCTCACAGCCTTCCCATCTCACCTGGGATGACCGAGACATCCTCCTTTCTTCTACCCTCTCGCCCGAGGAATGGGAGCATGGTTTGGGCTCTAACTCAGGCTGCTGCGGATGACCACAGGCACCTTGAACCTGATCTTCAGGAGGGAGCTGCAGCTGTCCTCTGGGCTGGCTCAAACTGGGGCTTTAATCTGCCAGATGAGCACGGACAATCCCCTGCTCTGAGAAGCCATAACTATATGGTCACTTACTTGGTTGAAGGGCTTCACAAGGCAGCACACAGGACAGTTAAATTATGACAGACTTAAGGAAACCAACCAGACAAAAGACGAAAATCTGGCTCATTTTAAGTCCCGCCAGGCCGCTGCCCTCAGGCACGTATTGGCCCTGCACTCAGAAGGCCAACTGATTTTAAAGATGCATTTTATTTCCCAAGCTGCTCCAGATATTCAGAAAGAGTTGCAGAAACAGGAGGCAGGCCCTCAAACCCCGCAGCAGGAGTTAATTTGGCCTTTAAAGTTTCTAATAATACAGACGGCGGTGCCCACAAGCAGCACCTTTCTGAGTTTCAGCCATTTGCCTCCGCTATAAGAAACCCACACTTACAAGCTGGACTGAAGTCCCAGCCAACTGCCAAGGGTGCTGCCAGGCTCCCCAACACAGGGGCCATGCTTCAAATGCTGCCAGCTAGTCACTGGGCTAAGGAGTGCCTGCAGCCCAGGATTCCTTCAAAGCCATGCCCAACCTGTGGAGGCTCTCAGTGGAAGTTGGACTGCCCCATGCTGGCGTCAGCCCCTGGAGTCAGTTCTGGGGGTCCCCCGGCCAGCTCTCTCCCAGATTTCATCAGAGTGGCGATGGATGACTTATATGGCGCAGAAGTTCCGGAGACCCCTGGATCATCTCAGATGCCAAGCTCCGAATAACTCTTGCGGTGCAGGGTTAGTCCACAGCTTCCATATAGACAGTGGGACAACTCATCCCACCATGCCTCTTTTTCAAGAACCAGTTTCCTTGGCCTCAACTTCTACTGGGGCTATTAATGGCAAAGTCACTGGTCCTTTTAAAACTCCTCTACTTTGGTGCCAGTTGTGTCAACGATTTTTTCCCATTCCTTTTTAGTCATCCCTACCTGCTCTGCCCCTATCCTCAGACAAGATAGCCTCGCCAAATTATGTGCCACTCTCACCCTTCCCAGCATTCATCCTACTTTTCTCACTGCTCTCTTCTCTTCATCTGTGGTCCTGCCCAAGACCCCCATTGCCTCTCCAGATCTACACCCCAGGGTTTGGGTACCTCCTCCCCTTTCCTGGCTCTCAGTCAAGCACCCCTTACCATCCCACTAGAGCCGGATCACCCCATCCCTCCCAGTGACGATACCCAGTCCCCAAGCAGGCTCTGAGCAGACTAAATCCAATTATCTCTTGCCTGCTTCAACAGTTTTCTAGTCCCTATCAATTCTCCATATAATATCCTGTTCTCCATGTTTGAAAGACAGATGGAACATACAGATTGGTCCAGGATTGCTGCATCACCAACCTGAGAGTCCTTATCCATCCCATAGTGCCCAATCCATATACCTTTTTATTTTCTACCCCCTCACCTACCACACACTACTCAATTCTAGATTTGAAGGAAACCATTCCTTTACATCCCTCCTCACAGACTCTCTTCGTCTTTACCTGGAAAGACCCTGACACTCACCAGTCCCAATAGCTGACCTAGGCTGTCCTCCCACAAGGGTTCAGAAACAGCCCCACTACTTCAGTCAGGTCCTTGCCCATGATTTGCTGTCCTTCCATCTGCCTGATTCCCACCTCATCCAATATGTAGACGATTTCCTCTCCTGCAGTCTCTCTTACAAATCCTCTGCACAGTGTTCTCCTACTCTTTACAAACGTTACACACAAAGGGCTATTGTGTGTCTCTGTCCAAGGCTCAAAATCCTCTCCATCTGTCACCTATCTGGGCACTATTCTGCATGAACACATTCAAGCCCTTCCTCCCAATTGTATCCATTAATTTCTCAGATTCCCATCCCAACCACAAAGCAGCAACATCTCTCCTTTCTTGGGGTGGTGAGATATTTCTGTCTCTGGGCTCCTGGCTTTGCCCTCCTTACCAAACCTTTATATAAGCTTACAAAAGGGGGCCCAGCTGGACTGTTAGATCACAAGAATTTTCCTCACTCTTCCTTCCAGACCATAAAAGGAGCTCTAAAAACAGCTCCAGCACTGGCTTTGCCAGGGTTTACTCAACCTTTCTGTCTCTATACTGCAAAGCATAGCAGTGGTGTGGTCACCATTCTGGCCCAGGGGCCAAGCCCACACCTAGTTGATTTCCTATCCAAACAACTTGATCCCTCTGTCTTAGGTTGGCCAGCCTGCCTAGGAGCAGCTGCTGCTGCAGCCTTCATACTTACAGGAGCTCTAAAAATTACTAGACATGTGCTGCTCATGCCATACTCCTCCCATAACCTGCAGATCTCATATCCACATCACATCTTTCTCATCTTCTATCTGCTCCTCATATCTTACAGTTGTATGCACTCTTTATAAAACCCCTACAGTAACTGTTGCTTGGGTCCTCACTTTGATCCTGCTTCTCAACTTGTACCCCTCTGTCTCTTTTGGAGATGCCAGAGCCACACAACTGTCTGTCTCTCACTCACTGGACAACCTCACTCTTTCCTCACATTGCAGCTTTCCCCTTTCGGACCCCTGCCCACACTTGGTTTCATGATGGGAGTTCCTGTAAGGCTTCCCGCACATTGCCTGCTAAGGCAGGATATGCAATTGTCTCACTTAACTCTGTTACAGAAGCTGCAGCTCTTCCCTCATCCACTACCTCTCAGCAGGCTAAACTGACTGCTCTGACCTGTGCTCTTACACCGGCCAAAGGTTTGCAGTTTAATCTACACAGGTTCCAAGTGTGCATTTCACATACTTCACAACCATATGGTCTGAGGGAAGATTCCTCACCTCTCGGAGATCCTCAATTGTCAAAGCCCCATACATTAAGGCCCTTCTCCAGGCAGCTCTTCTACCAACATGAGTGGCTGTACTTCATTGCAGGGGACACTGAGGACTTTCAGATCCCATAGCTGCTGGAAATGGCCTTTGCAGATAAAACTGCAAAAGAAGCAGCTAATGTCTCCCACCACACTACAAGAGGCCAATATTTTGCCCTTTCTTGCTTTGTTCCCACCTATTCCCCTTCTGAGCATCAACAGTACCAAAACTACCCACAAAGGATGGGTGGTTGCTGGATTAAGGAAGATCCCGGGGCTGGGGATTTAGCTCAGCGGCAAAAGCGCCTGCCTGGCAAGCGCAAGGTTGTGAGTTCGGTTCCCAGTAACGGAGAAAAAACAAAAAAAAAAAAAAAAAAAAGGAAGATCCCTCCTCCCTGCCTCACAGGCCCAAACTATCCTTTGTTCTCTCCGTGGCAATTGTCATATAAGTAACAAACCCCTAGCCCACCTACTGAAGCCTCTTATCTGCTTCCTTCCTGAAAGACCTTCCTCAGTGCCCTGTCTGCCAGGTAACTACACCCCAGGGCTCCCTGAAGCCCCCTCCTTTTCCCACACACCAGGCACAAGGCTTTTCCCTAACTCAGGACTAGCAGATTGATTTCACTCACATGCCATGGGTACAAAAGTTAAGATATCTTTTAATCTGGGTCGATATCTTCACTGTGTAGGTAGAGGCTTTTCCTACCAGTTCAGAAAAAGCCTCAGCAGTCACTAACTCCCAACCACTATAATCCCCTGATTTGACCTCCCCACCTCCATTCAATCAAATAACACCCCCCCTTTATTAGTCTAATTATCCAGGAGGTGCCTAAGTCGTTAGGGCTTTAGTAGAATTTACATACTCCCTATGAACTTCAGTCCTCAGGTAAAGTAGAAAAAGCTAATAATTTACTTAAAGCGCGTCTTTTTTTTTTTTTTTTTTTTTTTTGGTTTTTGGTTTTTCTCTGGTACCAGGAACCGAATTCACGACCTTGCGCTTGCCAGGCAGGCACTTTTGCCGCTGAGCTAAACCCCCAGCCCCTTAAAGCGCGTCTTAAACTAACACTCCAGCTTCACAAAGACCAGGTCACTCTCCTCCCAACTGTTCTTTTAAGAGTTCTCTCTATTCCCAGAGATGCTGCCAGATATAGTCCGTTTAAACTTTTAGATGGATGCACCTTCCTGCTCAGGCAAACCTCAGCCCAGAAGAGGTATCCCTAACTGCAGTTAGGGGAGAAGGGGCGTAGGTACCATCTGGCTGCTTTGAGCTGAGAAAGGCCCGTGTAGGAGAAATCATAGTCAGGGGCATTCTCCAAAGAGCTAATCTAATGGGCCTCAGATAGAAATGATGTTGTTGTTTAGCAGTTATGCACTTTTTACAAGGTCATTCTGGTGGATTCCAGAAAAGGAGTCTGACACATTTGGCATTGGTTCCATCTGCATGATCACTTGGAGTTTGGCCACCTATCTTATCTTAAGTAGCTGGAGCACAAGAGAAAAGCAGATATTTGAGTCTCCATCCAAGTATCTCAGTGGAATCTCCAAGATGATATAGGGGGAAATGCTAGATGTCAGATATGCTGAGTTCATGTCCCTTGAGGTCAAAGGATGAATTCTAAGAAACAATGGAGGTTAAGAGTAGGAAAATTTATTGGAGAAAAGGATGTGGGGACATGGGGAATAGGACTAGCTCCTAGGACATGGGAATAGGATTAACCTGTGTAGAGACAGGAGGAATCCCAAATGGGTTGCCCCAGAGGGTGGGGAATTAATTCCTGATTTTGTTTCAGAAAATATTAAACAGGAGCAACAGTTCATCTGGACATTAAAGCACTGGTTGAGGATACCATACAACAGCTAGGCTGAACTCAGACTCTTCTTAAATAACAGAGGTACTGGAAATGTTTGACCCAGCAAGTATTCTATTATGACAAGTGTTACACTAGGACTTCTCTAGCAGGGACAGAAATCCTATGGAATTATCTCAGAATCATGGAAGTTTGAGTTAAGACCTGATGTCACCATCCCCCATTCCTCAAAAAGTTTAGATCCATGTTTATTAGCTATAAATCCACAACTTTTGTCATGATTCTTGGTCTTTTAAATTTCCTCAAGAGGGCCCCCTCAACTCCTGAACTCTCGCGGGAGTTGAGCTGAACCCTGGATAGCATCAGTAGCTTGGGTGACTGTGCCCTCGCCCCTCCCCTACTGGTGTGGGAACTGGGCTGGATCCTGGGCAGTGTCTGGAGCCTCGGTGACCATGACCCACCCGTCACCCCACCACACCCTTGTGGAAGCCAGGCTGAACCCCAGACAGCATCAGGAACCTCAGTGAGCCACCCCTGCCTCTCCCCCACCATCATGCAAGCCAGGCTGAGACCTGACAGCTTCAGAGGCATTGGTGACCACACCCTGTGCCTCCTGCACCCTTGCAGAGCTAAGCTGAACCCTGGACAGTTTCAGCAGCCTCAGTGACTGTGCCTGCACCACTCTACCACTGGCTTGGGAACGAGTTGATTGCTGGACAGCTTCAGGAGCCTCAGTGACCACAACCAGCCCACCCCTGCACCTTTGTGGAAGTGGCACTGAACCCTGGACAGCTTTGGGAACCCCATATAGGAGTCAAGCTGAGCCCCAGGCAGCTTCAGAAGCCTTGGTGACCATGCGCCCACCTCTCCCCCACTGGCATGGAAGCCAACTGAGCTTTGGGAGCATTGGTGACTGCATTCTGCCCCCACACACCACCATGGGTGTCACACTGAGCACCCGGGACCTTTGGGTCTTTGCCCTGCCATTCCCACACCACCGAGGGAGTGAGGCTGAGCTCCAGGGAACCTCGAGATCTCCAAAAATGACAAAACAAAGGAGCAAAATGCAATCTCAGACCTCCAGCTCACCCAAAACAAGTCAAACAGACATTGACACAGAAGAGCTTAGAAGTCATACACCTGTAATTTCTGAAATGATAGCAACTGAAGTAAAGAAACAATTCTATCAGGCCATAGAAGACATCAAATCAGGAATAATCTCTCAGGTAAAAAAAGAAATGACAACAATAATGAAAGAATTGCTCAGCACATCCAAAGAAAACATAGCTAAGAAAATAGAGATTCATAGAAAAATGATGGAAACCTTGAATGAACAATATAGGAAAGGATTAGAATGCATGAAACTGATTCAAACAGATATCCAAGAAATTAAAAATTTCATTGAAAGCTGGCAAAACTGCTTGAATGATGCTGAAGATAGACTTTCAGACCTTGAAGACAGCATTAGAGCTAATGATCATGAAAGGAAGGATCTCTTAAAAATAACAGGGAACCAGGAAATGACAAGCTGCAAGATGAGGCAAAGAAAAACAATGTAAGATTAATAAATGTCAACAGAATAGCAGGCAACAACACAAATGACATAAAAAGACTATATGTGCAAATAATAGCAGAAAATTTCCCAAGCATGGAAAAAGAATCAGACATACAGTTAGTGAGACATATAGAACGCCAATCTACACCCAGACATATAGTGTCAAGATCCAGAAATTTGGCAAAAGAACAGATTATTAAAAGCTGTTAGAGAAAAGAAACAGATCACCTATAAAGGAAAGCCCAACCAAATCATGGCACATTTCCCAACACAAACCATGAAGTCAAGAAGAGCTTGGAGTGAAGTGTTTCAGGTCCTGGAAGAAAACAACTTCCAACCCAGATTGATGTACCCTGCAAAACTATTATTCAAAATCAATGGAGAAATAAAATATTTCCATGATAAAGAACAACTGAAGAAATACATGAGCACCAAACCAACCCTACAAAGAATACTAAAATATATTCTAAAAAGAGATAAAAATGACCACAATTTCAAGAACAAAAATAGAAAGGAACCACCAAGCAGAGCAAGCAATTAAACAGAGGAAAAAAGGAGAAACCAACAGCAGGAAAATAACATGACTAACATAAGCCAGTACTTATCAGTTCTAACCATTAATGTAAATGGTTTCAATTCACCAATCAAAAGAAGCAGACTGGCAGAGTGAATCAAGAAACAAAATCCAACAATATGCTGTATAAAAGAAACATATTTAACTCAAAAGGAAATTCATAGACTGAAAGTCAAAGCGTTGAAAACAATACTCCATGCAAAAGGAACCCAGAAAAAGTGGGTGTAGCTATTCTGTTTGCAGACAATGTGAACTTCAAACCAATAATGATCAAAAGAGATAAAGAAGGTCACTACATACTCATTAGGGGAAAACGTCAAGAGGAAGAGATCACAATCATAAACACTTATGCACCAAATACAGGAGCACCCAACTATATAAAACAAATTTTAACAGACATGAAAAATGAAATAAGCAGTAACGCAATCATAACAGAGGACTTTAACACACCATTGTCAGAAAGAGATAGATCAACTAGACAAAAAATCAGCAAAAGAATAACAGAACTAAACCAAACTTGTGAACATATGGACTTAGTAGACCTTTACAGAGTGTTTCACCCAACAACATCAGGATACACATTCTTCTCAGCTGCACATAGAATGTTCTCTAAAATAGACCATATGCTAGCATATAGAACATGCTTAAGTAAATGCAAAGGAACTGAAATTAACCCATGCATACTATTGGACCATAGTGCAATGAAATTGGAAATTAATGACAAAATAGATCACAAAAACTTCATAAACACATAGAAATTAAATAATACCCTCTTGAATAACCAACAGGCCACAGATGAAATTAAAGAAGAAATTAAACAATATTTACAATCAAACAAAAATGCAGATACAATTTATAGGAACCTGTGGGATGCAGTGAAAGCAGTCCTGAGGGGGAAATTTATAGCAGTGAATTCCCACATTAGGAAAACAGAATAAGCACAAATAAACAATCTTATGCTGCACCTCAAGCTTCTAGAAAAAGAAGAGCAGGTCAAGCCAAAAGTCCAAAGAAGGCAGTAAATTATAAAGCTAAGAGTGGAAATTAATGTGAATAAGGATAGGAAAGGAAGAAGTAAAATTATCATTATTTGCAGATGACATGATACTCTACATAGAAGACTCCAAAAACTCCACCAAAAGGCTTATAGATTTAATAACCAAATTCAGTAGCAAAGCTTGACACAGTCAATACTCAGAAATCAATAGCATTCCTGTACACAAATAACAAACAGACTTAGAGAGAAATTAGGGAAACCATATCTTTCATAATAGCATCTAAAAAAATGAAATACTTAGGAATCAATCTAACAGAAGAAGTAAAAGATCTACACAGTGAAAATTATAGTACATTGAAAAAAGAGATTGAAGAGGATTTCAGAAAATGGAAAGATATTCTTGTGATTGGATAGAAGAACCAGCATTGTCAAAATGGTCATACTCCCAAAATTGTTGTACAGAGTCAATGCAATCCCAATTAAAATGCCATTAGTATACCTCACAGATCTAGAGAAAACATTCCTAAAATTCATCTGGAACCAGAAGAGGCCTAGAATAGTGAAAGCACTCCTGGGAAACAAAGGAAAGGCAGGAGGCATCACAATCCCTAACTTGAAATTGTACTACAAAGTTATTGTGATAAAAATCAGCATGGTACTGGCAAAAAAAAAAAAAAACAGACCTGAGCATCAATGGAACAGACTGGAAGATGCAGACACAACCACAAAGACACTCAGCCACCTTATCTTTGACAAAGGGGCCAAACATGTTTGCTGGAAGAAAGATAGCCTCTTTAATAAATAGTGCTGGAAAAACTGGCTTTCCACATGCCAAAGACTAAAACTAGACCCAAGTCTATCACCATGCGCTAAACTGAAGTTAAAATGGACCAAAGATTAAATATTAAAACAGAAACACTAAATCTACTGAAGGAGAAAGTAGGTAAAAATCTTAAAGACATAGGGGTAGGCAGAGGGTTCATGAACAAAAACCAAACTGCATGGAAAATACTTCAAAGAATCAACCACTGGGATCTCCTCTTATTGAAAAGTTTTTGCACATCAAAAGAAATCACCAACAAAGTAAAAAGAAAACCCATGAATTGGGAAAAAAATTTTAGCCAACTACCCCTCAGACAAAAGACTTCTATCTAGAACTTATAAAGAATTTTTTAAAATAGGGCCCACAAAATTCAAATACTCAATCCAAAAATGGGCATCTGAGATGAATGCACACTTCTCAGGTGAATAAATACTAGTGGTGAATAAATATATGAAAAAATGTTCAACATCATTGATCATTCTAGAAATGCAAATTAAAACAACACTGAGATTCCATCTCAACCAAAAAAGAATGGCTATCATTAAGAAATCAACCAATGACAAATACTGGCAAGGCTATGGGGAAAAAGGAACCCTTCTCCACTGCTTCTGGGAGGAGTGTAAACTGGTGGAACCACTGTGGAAATCAGTGTGGAGATTCCTCACAAAACAAGGATTAGAAGTCCCATTTAACCAGCTATTCGCCTCTGGGTATTTTCCCAGGAGAATTAATGACATCATACCACAGCAATATATGTGCATCCATGTTTACAGCAGCAGAATTTGTCATAGCTAAATCTTGGAAACAACCCAAATGCCCATTAACTGAGGAATGGATAAAAAAGATGTGATATTTTTATACAGTGGAGTACTGCTCAGGTATAAAAATTAAACTGGAGGGTTTATAGGTAAATGGATGCAACTTGAGACCATACTCATAAGTAAAATAAATCAGAGCCACATGTAAACATTGTATTGTCTCCCTAGTGTAAGCACCTGAAAGAATAAATAAAATCCAAAGCTTACAACAGATATTATGAAAGGGAAAGAAACTGCTCAAAGGAAGGAATAACTGGAATGAGGGAAAGGACAAAAAGAAACAAAGGAAGAAGGAAG